GGGATTCACGAAATTTTCGGTGACCCACAAACACATCGAGTTCGTTGTTTAGTTTTAAGTCTTTTTTCATATTCATATATCTGGTGATGTTTCGCTAAATCATTTTGCAAATCATTGTTTAAATTCTTTTTTGCAGACTCCTGCTCCTGAGGTCATATTACTTATCTGTTGATTCAATTTTAAAATGCTTTTGAAGTTACTTGTGAGAAAAACTGAGTTGAAATGAGTCAAAATCTAATTTCTATAGCTAAACAAAGTAAACATCGAGCTCTCAGTTTCTTAACGTAAACCGAGTTTCGTCCCACTATTATAAAATTCATGTCCTTTCCAAATTTCTGGCAGAGTGCAATGCATGATGGTGCTACTTTTCTCACAGACGGCGACCATCTGACCCTACTATGCAGTCGACAATATCAAAAACAAACAACGCGCATGCGCGTAATTCAAAATATAAAATGGCGACAATTTACCATCGCACTCTTTATATATTTTGCCTTTTTCTCAACATGCTATACAACGGTATATGGTTACGCCTCTCAGATTCTATATGACGTGAATCTGGCAGATGATCTCGCCTCAGACCTAACTGTAACGAGCCAATAGCGGAAAAACTGACTGGTGACATTCAATACCGCCTATTAGAGCTAAAGTAGACCCCAGAGTCCAAGTGGAAGTTATATATACAATCCATAGCTAAAGATGTTGGAAAAATGGTTGTTTACCTGTACACCCCCTTCTGACTCATCCTGCTATGCTCTAATTTTACAAGAGCCCGATCAGACCAAAGATGAAGTTCTGATGCCATATCTGAGCTGGAGCTACACAGTCTTCACTTTTCAGTCTTTTGAGTTCAAAAGCGTCTATGTGACTTTGTGGGTGATAAATTATCTTTTTTACTCCTTTCCCACAGATGAAATGAAGCCAGCTACTCTATCACTATTTCCATGGAAAATGTTCCATCAAGAGTAACCCTCACAGACCGGCCACACCGCGTGCACTGAGGCGAACCACGCCCTATTTTCCTTCGTATTCCATTAGTGAGAAGTTAGTTACAATTGTACAGCTTCCCACGAACCGCTGGAATCGACTCCCGAGATGATGTTTTCTCGACCACTACAATCTTAACCTTTTCAAGTTGAGGGGTAATCGCCACTGTTACCTCTTACTGTTACCGGTCGCACAACAATCTCATTCAGTAAACCCTACCTCGAGGGATTCTTGAGCCTTGTATAGGATGAGCGTCATTAAAAATAAATTAGAGTGATGTAAATAAAGATCGAAATATTCATAAAATCAGCGCCAATAACTTATCTATTAATAAAATATCAATGATTTTTAGATATAAATTCCCGTTGTTTCTTTTATCACATTATCACGAGAAGGCAGAAGCTCTCTCTCTCTCTCTCTCTCTCTCTCACGCACGCACTCACACATACATACAGAGAAAAGAGAATTCATTTGGATATTTTTCCCACATATTAATGTTCACGTTCACTGGCAATCCAACTGCTGATTCAGCCAATCGAGAGGAGGGTGTGGCACTTAAGGTGTGGGTATGGATGAGGTGTGGTACTTAAGGTGTGGTGGGAGACAACTGCGGTTTGAATGAATTTTCAAGTCATGACGTTTTTTTTCGCGTCAGCCTGACTGGATACACAAAACCTGAAAACAGGTGGACTGTGGAAAGTACCCGGATGTCCAGTTCGACAGACTGACATCCGGGCAATGTGATACAAGTGGCAAAATCTAAGACAAATGAACATAATGATTAGGTTGCCAGACAATATTTCTTTCACCGTTGTTAGGATCATAAGATATTTCGACCTAGTAGTAGTATTAATACGATATATATATATATATATATATATATATATATATATATATATATATATATATATATAAAACATTGTCTTGTTCATTTTGTCTAGTGAGGATGGTATTGCAAGCTAAACAAGTAGGCACTTGGACTGTTTGTATTCACTTGTGTAGAAATCGACCAACTGGGGTGGATAGGTGGCTGGAAGGGTGGAAATAATTGGACGTTTCGCCACCCAGTTTACTTTCATATTTCCTTGACAACAGGAAGGATAAATGTTTTTATTGGGGTGAATTTGATTTTTTTTTCTTGTTGTTGTTGTTTGTTTTTAAATCATATGAGAGGGAGGGAATGAGAAAGTTAAAGAGAGAAAGAGAGTTAGTGTGACACAGGGAGTGAATGAGAGAAGGAATGAGAAAGAGAAGAAAGTGAATGAATTTGATAGAGGGAATGAGGGAGAGAGGTAAAAGTGGTGAGAGAGTGAGTGGGATTAACAGACACAATGGTAGGGAGCGAGGGAAAGAGAGAATGATAGAGAGAATGGGAGGGAGGTAGGGAGGAAGAAGGAATGGAAGAGAATGAAGAATAAAAAGAAGATGGAACAAGAAAAGGTTATTTGGGATTAATAGTTATGATTAGACTAAGATCAACACACACACACACACACACACATAGTTTTAAGGTGTGCTATATTTATGGGATAAAGTGCTCAATATCACAGATAGAGCGTATGTAAATATAAAAGTTAACATGAACACTCGGAAGCGACAGGCTGATTCATGCTAGATACAATTGTCAGACCGCCTGACGATTGCGTCTAGCATGAACCAGCCGGTCGCCTCTGAGTGTTCACTCCAATATTCACTTTTAGGCAACTGGACGTCTAGCCACACTGATGAGCTGTGATACAGCGAAACAGTCTCTCTGTGTATGACTATATATATATATATATATATCGGGCATCTCGGTAATGGTTAACAAGCCATTATCGAGAGAGGCATATATGGGAAATCAAGAAAGAAAGCTTTTCCCAAAGACAACTCTTCACTGAAATTTCCTGTTGCTGTCTGAAGAAGTTGCTGAGCAGGTGCTTATAGTGGGCGAAAAGATCGAAATGGGTGCGGAAAAGGGTGAGAGGGTGTCATCTCGTGAATCAATTCTCCCATGTGTGTCGTGATATCATGTCATCAGTCACAATTTTCAAGTCCTCTTTCGTGAGAGAAACGTGAATCCTAAACCTGATGGGACTGGCCGAAAGCAAGCCAAGTGAACTTCCGGCTGTCCTTTTGCAATGGTGTCGTCTCACGCGACTGACTTATTCCTCCACGCGCCTTGCCAGCCACAGGCTTGCATAGACCAGTCGTTAGAGCAGCGAGAGAATGAATTAAAGGCCTGAAACATCGTTCTAAGTGTTAGTAATATCACGTGTTTTTCTTTATTTTTTCTCGGGTGTTTTTCATCTTGTTTATTCATGAAGATATCCCGTGCTCCTCTTTCGTTTAAATTACTGCAGGACAAAAGATCAAAATCCATTTCGATACGACACACGTTAATATTTAATGGCATTGCAGACTTGATAAATTGCCAGCGATCGGGATTTGGATAACGGGAGATCATTTCCCGATAAACAAAATATAAATTGTGTTTCATGTCGTTTGCGTTTTAGTTGTGAAGGGTTTTCCGTTTCCTTTTATTTCAGATTATATTCGATTCGGATAATATCGACATGGATACATTCCTTTTCTCTCATAAAGTTTTTGATTTATGAATTTCGCTTTTACGTCTTCGATCTACGAGTTGGAATTAAACTTCATAAACAATTGTCAGGAAAATTGTTGTTAAGTAAAAAGTTAAATAAACACAAAAATACTTTTAGGTAAAGGCTAACTAAAGCGAAAAAAAATTCGTCAGCGTAAAGTATTTTAAAATTTGAACAGAAGTTTATTTCTTGTAGTTATTCTGCAATTCTATATCAAGTATAAGGACACATTTACAAAACACTTAGAAAAGACTGAAATCATTTGTGTTACCGAAACGTTTTTGCATTGAAGTAAAACTGCTTTTATGGGTTTTAACGTAAAATATTTTTACATTGCGTTTTCTGTCATGATTTGGAATCACAAGACATTTTTTTTAAATTCAAGATTAATTTAAATAAACAACATGGATTTTAAAGTAAGATTTTCCCATCGTCAGTCTATTTTTTGTATTTTTCCACTAAACTTGGATATTACTGCAATATAGATAAGAGTGGTGTTCTAGTTGTTAGTTAATTTTTTCACTTTGAAATTAGGAAAGGCATGAATTTATTTTTCTCCGTTTTTATGTCCTATTAAAAGATACTGTAATAAATTCTGGAATGTTTCAATACTGAAAGGAGAAAAAAAATCAGTAAATAGCTTAAATAAACGACTAATTTCTAACTTTGATATTTATGTAGTGTTATCAAAAAAGTCTTCAACTAGAATAACAGGCTCAATAGTATATAAAGAGTACAGTTTTAACTATTACATTTAGCTGATGATGTTTCATGAAGAATTTCAAAGTTGAAGCATTTACAAAAGATGCAAATTACAACTCTCTGAATCGATCTCTTCTTATTGGTGCCGTTGTAATGTTTTAAATACTGTAGTTGCTATATAGCCTATAGCTTTGATCATTACTCCTGTTCCTGTTGCTATGATGGAGTTCGCAAGAAGGGGTGCGATGAAGGCATTGCGGTGCTGTGTGTGTGTGTGTGTGTGTGTGTGTGTGTGTGTGTGTGTGTGTGTGTGTGCGAGGGGTGCATTTGGGGTGATGTGGAGATGATTATTGGCCAATGGCGACGGTTGGAGTAGCTTCCTGTACCGAGACTTGAAGAGTGCGTTGCCTGGTGTAATGGACACACTCTCCAAATAGTAGATCTGTTTCTTCCTCAGTAACTGGTGTGTAGTGGCAGCGGGAGTGGGGAGCGATAGTGTATTAACTAGACATCGAATGCACACGCACACACACACACACACACACACACACACACACACACACACACACACACACACACACACACATAACCACGCACAAATAGATATATGCCGTTACAGGGGTGCATACATATTCCTGCGTGCAAATCCATTTCCTCAGTCACTAGAAGAACCATAATGGTAAATTTTTTAGAATATATCTGAAGGCAGCCCATGGAGAACAGATGACCAGTGTTGCTCTCACCGGTCTTGCGTCTGTAGGAAACGTTTATATAAATGTACAGAATCTATCTCAGTTTGCTCATATCTATCTATCTATCTATCTATCTATCTATCTATCTATTCATATCTATCTATCTATCTATCTATCTATCTATCTATCTATCTATCTCAGTTTGATCATCTCTCCCTCTCTCTCTCTCTCTCTCTTTCTATCTATCTATCTATCTATCTATCTATCTATCTATCTATCTATCTATCTATCTCAGTCTGTTCATATCTATCTATCTATCTATCTATCTCAGTTTGCTCATCTCTCCCTCTCCCCCCCTCTCTCTCTCTATCTATCTATCTCGGTTTATCTCAGTCTGTTCATTTCTATCTATTTATCTAGTAAGCATGGAATTATGTACATACGTGTACCATTACACAAAATATATCATCAAGTCATACTGAAAACTGTTCATGAATATGTAAAAAACAATCCACACTATTAAATCGATGATATTTAGTGTATGTTACAATAAAAACAACTTACATACTGAAAAGTTCTCGGCCATCGCTGAAAACCTAAAAGAATGATGTTCGGTCAGTTTTGGGGACGTGGGTAGTGCTGAGAACTTTTCACTGTAGAGTTATACCGCTTCACCCTAGCTTTTCATCGTTCTACATTTAACAGCGTCTTTTTTGTGCTTCTTAAGACACAAGCGAAAATTAGGAATTGGCTGGAAGCTAGTTCTATCCCTGACGACCAGAAAGTGAAGTTGAAGTACCCTGTGTAAAATAGTCAGACGATTTCGTTGATTCATCTTTACTTTAAAGTCTCTTTGTCTAATGCCTGAATGTATGTGTGCGTGTATGTGTAGTGTGTATGTGTGTGTGTGCATGTATGTGTGTTGGTGAGTGCGTGTATTTGTGTATGGATGTTAGAAAAATATGTTTCTATTTGACGACGTGAAAAATCTGCGATATTTAAATAATTGACATTGGAAATCAACGATGACTGTTTTTGTTTGACTCGATAATACTTTTGCCTTCCTCCTTAGCTAAAGAACATCCGCAAATACGAAATTCTGTTTGTAAAATTTCAATGGTGACATTCCAGAAAGTTGACAAGAAAGCAAAGCAGCTAAATGTTTGCCATTTAACTACAGGCGCAATGCCCTAGTAGATTTGGTAACATAATATTTGCAAGTTCAATCCCTGGGTCCGGCACCGTGTACTTGGACTCAGTAGAAACGGGGCGAGTGTGATAACTGAAAAGTATTAAGAGTAAGAAATAGAAGAGATATCCTGAGACACGAGAAGTCAATCAGTTCAATCCCTGGACAGGGCAGTGTATATTTGGACTCAATGGAAATGGGCGAGTGATAACTGGGCAATGTTAAAAAAACAATTAGACCAGATATCCCTAGACGTGGTCAAGGGAACGAGAACAGTCTATCACTTGTAGGTTAAAAAAAAAGAGTTCATTTAAGGATTCACTGTAGGTTACCCAGATCGATATACACCTGATGACAGCTGAAGATCATATCGCCCGAAACGTTGTGATAACAACAATAAAGATAAGGATAATAGAATATAAATAGTGTAAATACTGTTTACAGATCTGATGATGTCATTCTGACTTTTATTATGAGAAGAACCATTCATTTATTCTCTGATGAAGACTTAGTTGAAACATTGTTTCATAATTTAAAAAAAAGGAGCGATGGGGATGTTGATTTGAATAAACCGGTGAGTATGTGTGAGGAAAAAAAAGAGATTTATATACATATTTGAGTATATAAGCATAATTTCTGCATGGTTGCTTTCCTGAATTCTACAATTTTAACCTTTTTAAGTTAAGGGCCAATCACTATCTATCCTACTTATCCTCATGATTTCTTACATTCATATCACACATTTAATTCAATAACACTCCACTATAAGTGACTCTCTTGAATTGTGTAAACTTTGACATGAATAAGTTTGCACTATTTACATTATTCGGACTATTGTCCTCATCTTTGTCACCATGTTTATCACAACGTTTCGGCTGTTGTACGCTCCGGCCTTCTTCAGGTAGTGGGACTGTCGAACTGAACCCTTTATTTCACTCACTGTGGTATACTGTTCTAGTTTCACGTGCCATGTTTAATGGATGTCAGTTATCAGTTATCTCCTGTTAATTTCCCTCTCCAAGTTCTCCACTGCCTTAACCAGGTATTGAACTCACAAACATTGGGTCCTGTCACTGGATCTAACTAACGCCTATATCCACTGTGCCATGTGTGGTTAGTTAGATTCAGTGACAGGACCCAATGTGTGTGACTTCAATACCTGGTTAAGACAGTGGAGAACTTGGAGAGGGAAATTAACAGAAGATAACTGATAACTGACATCCATTAGGCATGGCACGTGGAACTAGAACAGTATACACCAGTGAGCGAAATAAAGGGTTCAGTTCGACATTCCAACCACCTGAAGAAGGCCGGAGCGGACAACGGCCGAAGCGTTGTGATAAATATGGCGACAAAGATGAGGACAATAGTCCGAATAATGTAAATATTGTATATAATACCTCATATCAGAAATATAAACAGATACTGAAAGGCCGAAATGTTGTGATAAATATGGCAACAAAGATGAAGACAATAGTCTGAATAATGTAAATAGTGTACATAATACCTCATCTCAGAAATATAGAAGAATACGTTTGCATATACTACAAATTTGAAAAAGGCTCAAAGCGGAAAGGCAGAACCACATCAATGTCTCATTGGACGATCGTTTAGATTTTAAAAATCTCTTTTTGATTTCTCAAAAAGACTTTCATTTTGCCTCTTCGTCTTTATCTATAATTCTCTCATCCATCCCTATTCATTCATTTAGTTAATGTTCACACCAGTTGTAATTTCATTGTCATCAACTTCATTTGATCTCTGACATTTCGACAATGTTTAAGCATTTATCTGAAATACACACTACTAAGAAGATCCCGGTTCTGTCTCCATTAAAAAAAAAGAAAGATTCACAATATACAAAGAGTCTGTAAAATGGTTAACCAGAAGCCGATCGCAAATGCTTCGCCCAATCGTTGAATAAATTGAACAAATTCTCTTTTTCTTTATCTCTCGTTTTTCCCCTTTCCTTTCAAATATCTTTGTTTCTCTTTTATTTTTGTCTCTCCTTATTTTAGATTCTTCACACACATGTACACATATATATTAGTATATATTTAAGCATCTTACCTCTCTCTCTCTCTCTCTCTCTCTCTCTCTCTCTATTTCGGTCATTTACCCTCTCTACTGCCTCTTACCCTTTTAATTCTCTCTTCCGCCCATATACCCAAATGAAACTGATCAGTGATCGTATCTTAGCAACAATGTCTTCCTATTCTCAGTCGTGTCAGAGATTAATATCCCAATAGATTATTCATCTGAACGAAACAACACCCACATCATGCGAAGTTCTCTCTCTCTCTCTCTTTCCCTCTCTCTCTCTGGTCCCATTCTTTCTTACTTTTTCTTGATCTTGTTTCTTGCCCTTATTCATCAAACACACACAGAGCGACACACACACACACACACACACACACACACACACACACACACACACACACACACACACACACACACACACATTCCTTCTCCCCCACCCTCTATCTTTCCCTCTCTCTCGTTTATTTCGTCACTTCTTTTTTCTCGTCTCATTCTCTTCATCTTTCTTTACGTCTCTTTCCTGATAATCTTTTTTTTCTTTTCTTCCTCCTTTTTCTTTTTTTTTTCTATCTTCTTATTTCTTTATCTTTTACGCACATTGCTTCCCATTCTTTCTTAATTACAACTTACATTCTCTCTTGCTCATTTGCAACCTCCACATTGTCGTCTGCTCCAATTTTTTCTCTTCTTATCTCTTTTCTTTCTTAGCTTTCATTGTTTTCTTCTTTCTTCATGTCTTTTCTATCATTCTCCTTTTCATATTCTACCTTCTTCCTATCTTTTCATTTCTCTCTCTTTCTCCACATCTTTCTTGCCACTCATTCTTTCTCTAACTTTCCTCTTCAAGTTTTACTTCCCTCATAATTCTTCACTTTTTCTCTCTTCAGATCTCTCTCTGCCCCTCTCTCTCAACTTTTGTATCTCTTCTTTTTCTCCAGTTTTACTCATTATTGTTGATTGCCTTTCTTCTTTTCTTCATCATTTCGCCTTTCAGTTTCCATCAACTCCATCCCAACTTGAATTTACCTACCTACCTTCCATCCAAGTTTTTAAAATAACTTCTGAGCATTTATTGTACGTATTTATGTATGTATGTTAGGACCGAGTGGTTAGAACGTTTGCTTTCTGACCATGAGACTCGGGTTCGAATCTCACCATGGTTGATTTGTCAGGAAGGAGACTTCATGATGTTATTGGTCTGGAAGGGGGCGATCGGAGCGTGCGACACTTTTGGAAAGTGCCTGAAAACCATACCACGGGTCGACAAAAGCGTTGGGGGCCGTCGATAGCAGTGCTGGCACGAAATCACAAGTCATCGTGACCGAGCGTTTGAGTGTGCTGGTCTTGTTCAGATTGTTGATCACGCTAGATAACACGCTCTCTCCCAGAAACTGTAATTAAGGTCTGCTCAGCAGAGTTGCAGTAGAAACCACAGGTGGGCTCTGTGTCTCTCTATATATTTATCTATCTACTAGCAGTAGAGCCCGGCATTGCCCGGGGATATAACAGTAACAGATAGATCAAGTATCCACCATCATAAAGACTGAAAAATAAAATTGACAAAGATTATTGTTTAAGGTTGACGGACACGCATGTTTTAATTAGTTTTTTTTTTTTTTTTTTTTATTTATTTATTACGAATTGGTCAAACCCAAACTCAAACAAAAACATTGTTTTCAATCGTTATGAGTCTCTACCGATTGAATAGAATTTTATTATAAACTATTGTCTTGTAAGTGGAATTTTTAAAGCATTCTGAATGTAAAAATAAAGAAAAAAGTGTGCAAGACAATAAGAAACACTACATGCCAAAAAAAAGTGAAATTTTGTTGAAATCGGTTGAAAAATGTAGGTAGCCTTTCTGTAATCTTTTAGTTTTACAATTTATGATTTTTACTTATTGAATACAGTAATAAAAATTGCATATTTTGCTTGTGGTGATTCATAATTAGAATTCTGATTTGAATATATTTTCCACTCGTTGTTTCTAATACAACAAATATCAACTTTATTTGGGTTTATTAATTATGATCTAACAAATCTTATTCATTTAGTAGCCTTTCTGTAATAATAATCTTTTACAATTTATGATTTTTACTTATTGAATACAGTAAAAAAAATTGGACACCATGTGTATTTAAAGTAGATTCCCGTTCCGGTTATTATTTTTAGTTAGGACTTGTGTATGTTTAGATTTCATTATCTTTCCGTAAAGATAAAGAATTTATCCGATGTTTGTATTCGTACAATCAGTATAGATCGTTAGATTATTGTTTAAGGTTGACGGACACGCATGTCTTAATTAGCTTTTTTTTTTTTTTTTACGAATTGGTCAAACCCAAACTCAAACAAAAACATTGTTTTCAATCGTTATGAGTCTCTACCGATTGAATAGAATTTTATTATAAATAATTGTCTTGGAAATGGAATTTTTCAAGCATTCTGAATGTTAAAAATAAAGAAAAAAGTGTGCAAGAGAATAAGAAACACTACCTGCCAAAAAAAAAAAAAAAGTGAAGTTTTGTTTTATCGGCTGAAAAATATAGGAAATCCGCTCCCATATTTAAAGGAACCCACACACAAACAGCCCGATGTGAGTTGTCCCCCTTCCATTTTCACGATGTCTCTTAATCGTGTTTTCAAATTGATTTTGTGCAAAAACAATTATATTTTTCCCATTTTTGGCGCTGTTAGAACCACCACAAGGTAATTTTATGTAGTCCTGTGAAGTTTTGTTGAAATCGGTTGAAAAATGTAGGAAATCCGATCCAATATATAAACGTTACAGAGACACACACACACACAATCTGCGTTTTATAATAAGTAAGATTTATCTATTTAATTCAGGCTATTCATATCTAATTATGTATTTCGGTTAATGTCTTTCATTTTTCATGCTTTTTCTGTCTTGATTATCCTTCGATTTTTTCATTTTATCTTTCCATTCTCTTCTTTCCTTTCTTACTTATCACGCTTTCATCTTCTTTTCTTCCTTCCTTTCTGTTTTGTTTTTACAAATTTCTTGATGTACCTTCAAAAAATGTTTTCTTCTTAATTCTGAATTTATTTCCATTATAATTAATCGTTTCCATCGTTTGTCTTTTTCTCTTTTCCTTTTTATCTTCTTTATATCTTCTATTTCCCGATTCTTTTCGCTCCTTATTCCTCCCCCTCTCCCCTCTCTCTCTTTCACACACACATACATACACACTTTTCTTCTTTTTTCATTACTATCTTCCTTCCTCTCTCGGCTTCCAAATTTTCTTTTACTTGATTCCTTCGACAGATATCGTTAGAAAAAAAACTCAAAACCAAAAAAAAAAAAAAACCTTCTCTCATCGTTGCGTGTTCATTTAGCAGCTCATCCTAAGTGTTGCTTAAATGGATTTTTAAACCTTTTCGCCTTATATAATTATTTGAAGAAAGGGACCATATTAATTTCAAATTTCTCACTTTCCAACCGAGAATTGCTTACCTATCAAAACAAAATCAAAAGCATAAAACAAAGATTGAGACAAAAGGATTTTCATTACACTTTCCAGCTTTAAGTGCAGAAAGATAATTATGAAATGGACAAAGTCCAACAATTATTTTAAGACATTTTTTTTATGTTTATACGTTCTTTTTAAAGATATTTACTGGCCTGAATATCCGAGAAATTATCAAAAACAGTCAAATCGATCTTCCTAATTGAAACTCTCCTCTCCGGCTCAATCGGTAAAATCACGTCAGGCTATATGACGGTTCCGTATAGGATACAGGTTCGATTCCAGTCGGAGGACGCATATTTTCTATGAAAATTTCTCGGACATTCAGGCCGGTAAATGTTGTTAATACTGTTTATTATAACCAGAGTATTTACTTAAATATTTGTATCTATAAAAAGAACGTATAAACATAATATATATATATATATATATATATATATATATATATATATGTATGTATGTATGTATGTATGTATGTATGTATGTATGCATAAAACCGGTAGTCAATTATTGGCTACAATTGAAAGAAAAGTGTAAAGAAAAAGAATCAAAGGTTACGGAGTGAGTGTAAAGTAAAAAAAAAAAAAAAATACGAAGAGGACAAATAACTAGGCCCTTCTGCACGTACGCGCAAACGGGCGCATGGGCACACATACACCATGAAAAAAACTTGCACCAAAGAAGAGGGCATAGAAAAAAGATAAATCAAGAAGCAAATACCACCCCCCCCTTGACGGTGTGGATTCCCGTAGGGTCCGCCTACAAAATTCTGAAGACACTATGCTGAAAGTAACATCAATCAGCTTTACAAAATCTTTTTACTGTTATTAATTTTATATATATATATATATATATATATATATATATATATATATATATATATATATATAGGTAATAAAAGGAGGGTTTGCTAATCTATATTGATTATTCCAAAAGGATGTAATCCAGAGAGCTCAATGTAACAACAGCATACATATATATATATATATATATATATATATATATATATATATATATATATTGCTATAAACTTTATTTTTAGTGGGTACACGTGTTTCAGTTGTAATATCTTGAGCAGTACTTCTCAATCTAGGCCGGTTGGCATTAATGTCACTGTTTAAAAAAAATAAAATTAAAATGAGGCATAGCAACTCAAACATGCGCAGCCAATAAAAATAACGTTTCTTGCTATGAAAAATGATGTCTGAAAGTAAAATTCTTTTCATATATATATATATATATATATCAAAAGTAAAACTAATTTAATATTAATTACATCATAAAAAAAGTTCAACAACAACATCATTTACATTATTTAAATTACGCCACTTAACATATTTTAACTCGACTTCTCAATTAGCCTGATGAATATTTATGAGTGTTTCTTAGATTAAAAATTTTTGAAAAACTAACACCATTTCTAATTTTGTTTATAAATACCTGTTGCAAAATAAGCTCCTTACATGTTTCGGTGCGTTGAATATTTTAGACATGTTCTGTCTACTTATTTTCAATAAGATCCTTTCATATTCACGGATAAGCTTTTTGGGGTCATTATTGAAGGACGAGAGCAAATCGCCGTGTTGATACATATTTCTTTTATTTCCGAGTACTTTCGACATAGCACAATATCATCATCAGTTTATTATTTATTACAAGATAAATATTGCAGTGTTCATTATCGCCAAAGAGAAAAGTGTTGTGTTCATCTGAAAGTTAAATTTTTTACAACTGGAGTAAAGAACGCTGCGTCAGTACGTGACCACTGAAACCGTCTAAGGGGAGGTAAAAAAACTATAGTGTGGGGAGTTATTACGAAATGAGTAGTAAAAAGAGAAACTATTATTGCAAAGCTTGATATTTTATTCTCTCTGGTGTACACATTTTAAAACATTTGTGGAGTATTCATAATTAATTTTATTAAGGTTTGGTTTCAAATTTTTAGTTTATGTTTATTGTTTTTGGTGATAAAGTATATTTTCAAAGAGGATTTTTCTGAATTGCGAATGTGGATAGGTATTTTGTAAATGTTCATAAATGTTGGACATATTATTCAGATAAAAATTTAGCCGCCGAGACAACAGAGTACTAGCGCAATGTTCCTCACACCACTTGTAAGAAATTTAACTTTCAGATGAACACAACATTTTTGTCTTTGACAATAATGAACACTACAATACTTGTCTTGCAATAAACAATACCCTGATGATGACATTGTGCAATGTCGAAAGTACTCGGAAATAAAAGAAATAAATATCAACACAGCGATTTTCTCTCGCCCTTCAATAGTAATTCGTAAATATGAAAGGATCCTATTGAAAGTAAGTTGAAAGAACCTGTTTAAATTGTTCAACGAAACATGTCTCAAATTTAACTTCCGAAATCTAGAATTCAATTTCCTGATTATTACTTTTGCCCTTTTAATCAATTTTTCCGTCAATGGCGAATTAGACACTTATCGACATTTTTCACTCAGCTGGATTCAATGTTCTTTTATCATTCCGATGTTCCTTAGTTTTACAATACCAAGATTTTTATAGTTGTAAAATGCCAAATAAAATACATGGCAAAAACAAATTTCATCGGAAAATGTGCCTGAATGAGGAGGAAAGTTTGCAGGTTTTAAAAATGGCAATAATCTTGACACGATTAGAAAATCATAAAAATTGTTAAACAAATGCTAACTTTTCTTTCAAAACACCGTGTGGAAATTTATAGAAAAGAATCAATACTCATTGCTTAACTCCGTACAAATCGTGTTTTGCAATTATTCTACTGCGTCTGTGTGTATGAGTGATTATATCTATTCTGAGCTCCTTGTAAGATATTTCAAGAACAATTTAATATACCTGAATAACTAAAAACAGAGATCAATGTCTATAAAGGTTTGTGCTTCTCATGTGAAAACTGAAATTCTACGTTTGTTTTGTACAAATAAGTTAATATTGAATAAAGGTCGGCCAAAAGTGTCTGTTCGTGCCTGTCATCTGATATTTTTCGCGTAATTTGATTTATGGAAAAATAAAAAAATTCACCGAAATAAACATGAGTTAAGAGAAAAAAAAACTTTTTTCATATTGATTCTATCAACGCTTTTATCTTTATCTTCGATATTGAGCACTTTATCACAAAGACTGCTTTCCATAAATGCCTCCTTATCGGCAGGGGTTAGGGTTAGGGTTAGCAAACCACTGAAAACAATAAATTTGTTTCTAAAATAGTATTTTCAAATTTGCTCTCTCTCTCTCTCTCTCTCTCTATATATATATATATATATATATATATATATATATATATATATATATATATATATATATATATATAATTTATTATAAGATATTACATTCGAACATATGTAAAACCGCTACACAAATGCATTCATGTTTCTTTGCATATCATTGTATCTCATCAGTGGTAAATAATCCTCATTGACTACCGCCTGATGAGATGAGATTTCTGACGATATGCATCGAAACATGTCAAACTATAGGATTGGTGTATACGGAATAAAATCCAATAACCAACAAATACTATTCTTAAAAGAGTGCTCAATACAGATTAGAGCAAATATAATTATTTATTCGAAAATTATAACATGAATGTAGAATAAAGGGTTTTAAAAGGTTCGAATCAATCAAAAAGCTTTTTGATTTTAAAACATATTTATGTTATAATTTTCTAATAAATAATCATATATATATATATATATATATATATATATATATATATATATATATATATATGCGTAAATGACACTATATATTCGTCTTTGTAGGATGTAACCACAAAAGCGCATATATACGGGCAAACGTCTCTAATATTAAATGATTAAGCTCTGTATAAATTTACACACCTGAACGGCGTCATATAATGAAGCATTAGACGGGTGTATAATTGTCCTTGATTCACACATACAATTATGATATTTTTCGATAAAGTCTCTACCAACCGATTCCTCTTCTCCCTTTTCCTCTTTCAATTTCTCTTCAATATTACATCTCTGTGCCTGTCCCTTGGCTTCCATTGAATCGGGTTGTCAATGGTTAGAACGAGGCACTGACAACAAAAAGGCGGGGTTGCTGGCGTGAGTTGATGACAGGAATGGCGTCCGTCCACAAATGGCGGGAAAAGGGCGAACGTTAGTACGGGAATTGGAAGGCGGCTGACAGCTGTTGCGTAGCGGTGTTGCTTGGGAACGGTTAGTGGCCGGTAAAAACAGACATCAAATTGATAAGAAGTGATTGCAAGAGTCGGGGAGAGAACGGGAGCAGGAAAAGAAGAAAAGAAGAAAGAAATTGTCGTGAATTAAAAGTGAGGAGGAAATATCAGAGCAGGATAAAGACAGGCTGCGAGTAAGAAAAAAAGGAAGAAGAAAGTTGAGAGAGAAGAAATAAAAGAAAAAGGGAAGATAAAATAAGGCAGCGGTAAGTGAGAGAAAGTGCAAAAAAGAAAAGTAGGGAACAGAGAGAGAGAGAGAGAGAGAGAAAGGAAGAGAACGGGGGAAAGACAGCGAAAGAAAGAAAAAACTGAGGGAAAGAGAGGTTTTATGACTAAGGAAAGAAAAATAGAAAAAGAAAAAGTAACTTTTTATTAAAAATGGAGAGAGAGAGAGTGGACGAGAGAAGAAAGAAGGAATGGAGTTATGAAGAAAGAGAATGAAAGTTGGGAGGGGGGGGAAGTTTAAAAATGATATATGTTTGAATGCGTACATATGAATATATATATGTGTGTGTGTATATGTATGTATATATGTAAAATATATATATGTAAAATGAGAACGAATAGAGTCCAATTCTAACGTTCGTAACATTCAATTTAAAAGAGAGCTCAGTACAAAGTAGAGCAATATTTTTTATTTTAGGATAAAATATTTTAGCATTTATTTTAGTTTTCCTAACGCCTGATGAGATGCGTTGATTCGCATCGAAACACGACTGCATTTGTGTAGCGTTTTTTGATGTAATATCCTAAAATAAAGTATATATATATATATATATATATATATATATATATATATATACTAGCAGTAGAGCCCGGCGTTGCCCGGGGATGTAACAGTAAGAGATAGATCAAGTATCGACCATCATAAAGACTGAAAAATAAAATTGACAAAGATCATTGTTTAAGGTTGACGGACACGCATGTCTTAATTATTTTTTTGTTTTTGTTTTTTTTTTTTTACGAATTCGTCAAACCCAAACTCAAACAAAAACATTGTTTTCAATCGTAATGATTCTATCGATTGAATAGAATTTTATTATAAACAATTGTCTTGTAAATGGAATTTTTAAAGCATTCTGAATGTAAAAATAAAGAAAAAAGTGTGCAAGACAATAAGAAACACTACCTGCTAAAAAAAAGTGAAGTTTTGTTGAAATCGGTTGAAAAATGTAGGGAATCCGATCCCATATATAAACGAACGAACACACACACACACACACACACGCACACACACACACACACACACAAACAAACAACCTGGGTTTTATAAGTATAACTCAATATGAGTTGTCCCCCTTTCATTCTGGCGACAGTATCATGTTTTATCTTGTTTTCAAATTGATTTCATGCAAAAACAATTGTTTTCCAATTTTTGGCACTGTCAGAACCACCGCAAGGTAATTTTACGCAGTCATGTGAAGTTTTGTTCAAATCGATTTAAAAATTTAGGAAATCCGATCTAATATATAAACGTACAGACACACACACACACACAATCTGCGTTTTATAATAAGTAATATATATATATATATATATATATATATATATATATATATATATAAAGAGAATGAGATAGTGGAGAATCATCCGTGGAGTTTGAATCATGGCTCAGATATAAAAAGAATTGTCTGAAGGGATCACGAAATAATTTTATTAAAAACTGGATGAGGACAGGCAAAGAAACAAATGCAATGCCGGAAATGGAAACATGTGTCAGAAAAGTAAAAATTCAAATTGAGGCTTGAATTTGAAAAAAAAATGAATAAGGAAAAAAGAAAGAGAAAGAGAAATATTAAAGAGGAGGTGTAATAAATTATTAACTGGGAAGAAAAGGAAGGAAAAGGACAAAGAGAGAAGAGATTTTTTTATTAGTAAAGAGGAAGAAATTGATGGAGAAAAAGGCCTACAGAAATAGATATGAATAGAATGAGATAGATACATAGATAAATAGATAGATATGAACAGACTGAGATAGATAGATAGATAGATAGATAGATAGATAGATAGATAGATAGATAGATAAACTGACTGATTTGACCAGAGATAGATAGATAGATAGATAGATAGATAGATAGATAGATAGATAGATAGATAAACTGACAGACTGATTTGACCAGAGACAGACAGGTAGATAGATATATTGTCAAGAGACAGATAGCTAGCTAGCTAGATAGATAGATATAAAACGTTTGAGATATATTCTTAACTTCTTGACATATATAACGATCTCGTCCTATTTATATCTTAAATTATTCAGACTGTTATCCTCATCTTCATTGCCATATTGACAACGTTTCGACCGTTGTAAGCTCCGGCTTTCGTCAGGTAATTGGAATTCCGAACTGATCCCTTTATTTATGTACACAAATGTAGAAAAGGCTGAAACGCTTTGAATATGGCAACGAAGATGAGGATAAGACTCCAAATAATGTAAATAATGTAGGTAATCATAAATACCTCATCTCAGAGATACAAACATTATCTATCTATCTATCTATCTATCTATCTATCTATCTATCTATCTATCTATCTATCTTAGTCTGTTCGCATCTATCTATCTATCTATCTATCTATCTATCTATCTATCTATCTTACTTTTGGTAATTTAGTTCTGTGTATGCCTTTATTCCACTCCCCCATTTGATGCTGAGGTCTTGGTAGACAGAACATACGAAGCTATTAAATGAGATTTGTAAAGGACGAAAAAGAGATGGAATGGGTGAATATGGACATTTGGCCGTGTTCATCTATCCGTAAGGGCAATCACTATGGTGTTACCCGGGAACGGAGGTATTAAATCGTTTTGTTTTTCTCACTCGGTTAAGCAGTCGCCTGGCTGACTGCGTCGCTGGGTGGAACACTTTATTGCTGAACAATCAGGCAGATAAGCTGCTTGCCTCATCCCCTGGCTCTTTGGCCAGTAAACACTAGTCTTGTCCCTTGCTCCTTTCAAGGATCTTCAGTCTAGATAATGCCAAGTGATAATGGCTGACTATTTGAAGTGCGTATTCAGAACAGTCTTATGTATGCTGTGTCTAGAGAGATACCCATTCAATAATAGCATTTTTATAGCATTCAAACTTAGTGATTACGCGTGGACAAATGTTGTGCAACGGTCTGCGAGAAAACTCCATTCTTTACGGTTTACTGGAGAGGAAACAAATATTTGTCTTTTTGCCGAACCAAGAAATTTTCAGTAAAATCCTTTTATTTTATTCTCATAATTTTTGTAACATCCGGTTGATTCTTCAATAAAAATTTGGATATTTTTTAACGAATAAATATTGAAGTTTTTTTTTTAGGTTATTCTGTGCCAAAGTGGAATCTAAAACAAAAACAGGTATTTTAGGCCTCTTAAATATTTAAAGACAATATTTTGAACCTCGAAGAATTGTTATAATTGACAAAACGAGTAGACTATCCATTGGAAAGAATGGTGGACGGAACATTTTAGCACAAAGAAAGGTTCTAGGGTTCACTCATCCTGAGATTATTTGTATTCCGTTATTCTGTTATTCTAGATTCTATTTCTAAATTTTCATAAATTAGAATTCTCGCATTCTGAATACTCATATTCTGGGATTCCCATCTTCTATCATTTTCATAATTTATTTTTATTGATACCCTTACAAGATTGATCCTAATCTACCGATAACCTCTGCTGCATTGCATCACTGCATCAATTGCTGTCTGTTGCATCACTGCATCAATTGCTGTCTGTTGCATCACTGCATCAATTGCTGTCTGGCAATCTTTCATTAATTTTGAAGATAGACATTTTGAAAATCATGACTTTGAAATCATTTTTAAGAAAAATCGTCTTCAACGTTTGGTGAATCAGCTTTGGTGAAATTTATGTCTGAGTTTCTAGGATTATGAGTTCTAATTATTTACATTCTGACTAATGTCCTCATCATTGTTGTTAATATATATTGATCTTTTTTTAAATACAGTTCACTTACTACAATTCGTGTTTCTACTGAAACCTGGGAAGCAAATAAGAAAGAAAATCAGCAGGCGCAGGAAAACATTAAGAATCTTCGCTTTAAAGTTTCAAAAACTTAGTTTCAGGATTGTCCCACGGAACAATTGCCTAAGACAATTAAAGCTTTGTATCATCAAATTACTGGTTAAGTAATTCAGAAATATATTGATTAGCGGCTTAGTAAATGCGAATAATAGTAATTACAGGCTTAGTAATTAGGAATAATAATAATTAGTGATTTACTAATTCAAAATAATAATAATTAGGGGCTTAGAAATTGAAAATAAATAATAATAATTAGTGGTTTTGTAATTGAGAATAATAATAATAATAATAATTAAGGGCTTAGTAATTGGTAATAATAATAATAATTAGTGACTTAATATTTGAGAATAATAATAATTAAGGGCTTAGTAATTGAGAATAATAATAATTAGTGACATTTATTGAGAATAATAAAAATTAGGGGCTTAGTTATTGATAATAATAATAATAATAATAAGTGTCTTAGTAATTTAGAATAAAAATAATTAATGCTTAGTAATTGAGAATAATGATGATTCGTCACTTAGTAATTGAGAATAATAATTATTAGTGACTTAGTAATTGAGAATAGTAATAATTAGTGGCTTAGTAATTAGGAATAATAATAATTCGTGACTAAGCAATTGAAAATCATATAAATTAGGTGGTTAGTAATTAAGAAAAATATTAATTAGTTTCTTACTAATTGAGAACAATAATAATTAGGGGCTTAGTAATTAAGGATAATAATAATTAAGGGTTTAGTAATTGAGTATAATCATAATTAGTGGCTTAATAATTAGGAATAATAATAATTAAGGGCTTATTAATTAGAATATTAGAATAATAATATTAATAAATAATAATAAAATATTAATAATAATTAATAAATTAATAATAATAAATTAAGTGAATTAAATTAAATTTTAATTAGATTTTAATTAAAATAAATTAATAATAATTAACGAATTAACATATTAATTAATAATAATTAATAACAATAATAAATAATTATATTAGACTAATAATAATTCGTGGCTTAGTAATTGAGAATAATAATAATAATTACCTTACCTGGGCGAGAGGAAATTTCTTTTAGCCTGTGGAAGAGTGTTCCTATGTCAGCTGGTCAGTTAGCTGATGATTCCAATGAACAGACTAGGGTCATGTCCAGATATAGATATACCCATGTAAAGTCCTGGGAACCACCGTCATTCATACGACAAGAGGGAGACCTACACACTAATAGGGAGCTGTTTTTTTTTTGGGGGATGCCAATTCAGTTTAATAAAAGACCACTGAACTGTTATGTGATATCTGCCCGCATATATGGTAGTGGATGCTGGTCAATCTCCTTAAAGATGAAGAAGAAAGCAACAGAAATGTGGTTCTACAGAAGGATGCTGAAAATACCATAAACCGAACATCTGAGCAACGACGATGTTTTAGACACTTATAATAAGCGTAAATAAGAGACAATTGATATTTCTAGGGTACATAATGAGGAAAGAGGGCTTGAAAAATCTGATACTCACAGGGCAGATTGAAGGCAAAGAGGAAAACAACGCATAATCTACTAAGTGCGCTTCTGTAAACGGATCGTAGAACATGGTTTAGGAGAAAAAGCAAAAAGACAGAATTTATTAAGAGCTACAAAGGACAGGAAAATGGGAAGAGCCATGATCGCCAACGTCCGGAAGGGACAGGGCACATAAAGAAGAAGAAGAAGAATGGATAATTTTTCACTTGACATAATTGTTAAGGAAGCAGTCACGCTTGTATTTCAATTATTTAATGTGTTCGTTTCTCATTAAATACCACAAGATTGTAAGCCGAATTAAGAAAATATTTGCGTATAGAAAATTTAGTCTCTCTAAAAAAAAAAGGGGTACTAACAACAGAAAAAAATACACGTATAAGTACACGTGTATAAAAAGGGGTGCTGAATTATTTTTGTGATTCTAAAATAAAATATGTATTTGACCAATTTGTTAGATTTTCGCATTTCAGTTGGGCTGGAAACGTCTCCCCAAATATATATATATATATATATATATATATATATATATATATATATATATATAATAATAATTAAAAAAACCATAAAAATGCATAGTCAGTAATAAATTTATTTCGTTGAATATAAGCATATTCATCTCATCAGTCCAACTACATTTTATCAAATGGAATCAAGGTATCTCAGACAGACATACAAAGATAAAAAATTGGAGAAAATTGTATGACAAAGTAGAAAAAGGTTTTTCACCCTGTCATACACTTTCACTCAATATTTTTCTTGATATATAAAAATATATATACCGTTTATCTCTCTCTCTCTCTTACACACACACACACACACACACACACACACACACACACACACACACACAAACACCCCACACACAACCACATTGAAGAAGGAATACTTTGTTAATTGTTTTTATAGTTTATTGTACAAGGGAATGGTTCAAAACAGCAGAATTTTTTAACAATTTTATTGTTGTTTCTCGGGTTGCGTCCATTCTCTGATCAGTATCAGGAAACAAGCATTTATACGTTATATGTCAGAAGAAGATGAGATGATTAATCCAAAATGATATCGTGTTGGCGTTTCTGTTAGAGAAACTTATGTATTTAAGAATTTCAGAAGGCAATCTATTGGTGATAGTGTCGGTAATTTCGGTATCATGACTTGGTTGTAGACAGCGTAGTAGTTATTTGTTTTCGTATCTACATTTGGAAATAGTCTCTGATGCTTTGTTTAAGAATTTATATTTATTTTCGTCAGCTGATTATGATATTTTCTCCTTTAGACAAAAGAATAAAATTTTAAAAAATGACGAATTTCCTAAGACAAGAAAAAATATTACTAAAATTGAAATTGCCAGATTTAGTAGTTTCCAATTTTTTTTTTTTCTCTGGGTTGCATTTTCCGGATAAAAATTTTCCTCGCGCCTCACCAAATTTTATATGATAAAAAGTAGATAAAAAAACAAACAACGATTAACAGTGTGTTATATCTAACACCAATAACCCAGAATATGATTGAAGTACACAAATATAATGAAAGATGTGAGCTTGTTTTTGACGAGTAATCTCTTTTGTATTAGACCTAATTTAAGATAAACAAACCTATCAGCAGCTATACAGGTGCAGAGAAAGAGAGTTAAAGGGAGATAACCGTGGATTTGAAGTCAGAACATTATCATTGATAACTCTCTCCTCCAATTTGCAGACCCTAGTTACTATATTCTTAATACTTGATATAAAGCAAAAATATCACAATGATAAAATCAGTCAATAATTATTTATAACTATTTATACTGGGACCCATGCATGCAATTACAAGTAATCTATAATTATATCTTAGATTTTGAAATCATACTTATTTTTGGCATATGGATTTTTAAAACCATTTCTAAATTTTGATTGTCTTTCAATCATTTCGCTTCACCTGCTATCCTCTTCCGCCTCACCTGCTATCCTCTTCCGCCACACCTATGAGGCCCGCCACACCGTTTGGGACACCACCAGATTAAAAAAAAAGTGTCTTATTTATTTTTTCTCTAATTATAACCTATATATTTGGTATTTATCATTAATTGGAATCTTTCTCTCTCTCTCTCTCTCTCTCTCTCTCTATATATATATATATATATATATATATATATATATATATATATATATATATGAGTTTGTGTGTGTTTGTGAGTGTGTTTTAATATTAAAGTATATATAACATTTAATGTCATTTTGCATGTCTCCCAATTTCCGGTTTGTATCATTATATTGAAACACTTGTTTTGCAAAAAAATTCCATAACTACAACGGATAAATTTAAAATTTTAAAAAGCTATAACAAAGTGTGTTCGTCCTTTTTTTTCTTTTTTTTAAATCTGCATCACAACGGAATGCAGATTTTATCGCAGCTACAATAAGTTTCTTTTTGGAATTTACCACTGAAAATGAAAGTACTTGGGTTAAAAAAAACTACGGTGTCTTCCTTTATGTATTTATGCTTAACATCAAGAAACTGGAAACAATCAGTATAAACATATTTAAGTAAATACTCTGTTTTATAATAAACAGTATTAATAACATTTACCTGCCTGAATGTCCGAGAAATTTTCATAGAAAATATTCTTCCTCCGACAGGAATCGAACCTGTATCCTGTACGGAACCGTCATATAGACTGACGTACCCTAACAGATTGGGCCACAGAGGATCGCTTGGTTTAGCTCAGCCGCTATGCTGGTTTGAAATGTTATCTTCTTTCCCACGTTAGAAACATTCCACCCAGGGATAACTCCGAACCAGTATGTCGTATTTCCCTATTTGTTGCTGGGTCTAGGAATACATTTGACAGATCATTTAAGTGCACAGGCTTGAAATCAAATAGACAGCCATCATTTACAGCTCTCATTGTATGTGTATAATTTTAGAGGTGTACCTTATATATATATATATATATATATATATGGGTATGTTTGTATTGGAAAGAGAGAGAAGGAGAGGGAGAGAGATAATGAAGACGAGAGAAATATGAACTTGTTGTGTGATTCTTAGAGATTTTATTCATTAAAGACTAACAATACGATAAAAAGAATTAGTCTTTGGAGGTTAACCTCGTCTCCTGCAACTTTAACCACTAAGCCTTACCGCCGTTCGAGTGAAATGACCAGCAAGTTAGATATTCTGTATGCATCAGAAAGAGCAGAAGGAAGCTGAGTAGGAAAAGGAGAAGGAAAGATAAGGGACGTGTGGTCAGCAGTTGGGTGGGGGAGGAGGGACGGAAGAATCGGATGAAGTCCATCTTACAGACTGGAAAGGCTCATGTCATAAATTATCCATGCAAATGTGTACGTTGACCTCTTTTACACGTCACTGCGCATCACTGTGCCTCATGGGAATGAAGTTAGTGGCACGCGCGCATTCCTGAAAGGGGATAATATGATGCAGAGCGGAAAATGGAGGGTCAAGAAGGAGAAGAAGAAAAAGAAAAAAATACCCAGGAAAAGAGAGAGAGAGAGAAAGAGAGAGAGAGAGAGGGGGGGAATGGAGGAGAAAACGGAGAAAAAGATAGGGACTATTTAGATGGAAGGAGGAGCGGGAAATCGAAAAGAGAAGGAGGGTTTATATTATGAAGGAGAAAGAAAGATAAGGATTAGAGCGAGATAGACAGAGAGAAACAAAATAGTGGGAGAGAAGACGACGAAGAAGAAAGAAAGAATGAATGAATGAATGTGGGGAAGTGAGCAAGAAAAGACGGAAGCGAATTAGCAATGAATAGCGAACGGAAAAGAGAATTCGGACGCATCAGGCTTTTCTTCGATCTCTTTTGCTGTCTAAAATGGAAAACCTAAATCTTGTATTGAATCACTCTGTCATCTTTTGGCATCCCCCCACTCGGCACCCAGCTACTTTCATGCTTTTATTTCCATTATCCAATACCCGTGTCTATCAAATAGACGAAATTCACCTTCCTAGTGCACCTCACTCCTACAATGTCAGTTTCCCGCCTTCGATGCATTTTGCAGCAAATTCTTCATAGCCATATGAAGATTTATTCCTTTCTTTTACAAGCAGCATTCTTCTGCCTCTGCATGTTTTCTTCCTTCTTTTCTTTCCGCTTAATGTTCCGAACAATCATCTCAAGAGGTTTTTTTTTACCGTTTTCTTTATGCAGTGAATGTCATCTTGATTTTCGCCGGCGCCAGACCCCAGCATCAGGCCACTAGCTCCTCAGCAAAGCTGATGGCCGTGAAATCAAAAATTGATGGAGAATCCACTTCCTTCTTAAGATGACGAAAGCTATTGATGTAATGTCGAAGAAATATGCCAATATTGTTAATGCGTGCGGCTTACGTTCATAGAAAGCGACTGGACTTTGGAAACACGGATAAAATTGCGTGTGTCTTCGTGTTTCCGTCGAAAACCCTACACGGGTAATCATAAATATATCGGCATGAAAATCCCTTTCCATTGTCTATTTAAACGCTTCTATTTCTATGCGTTTTGATAATAACCTTTGTGAGTGCATACAATACAAATCTGTGTGTGTGTGTGTGTGTGTGCGGTGAGTATGTATGTATATGTGTGGATAGTTATTCCTCATTGCGTCCTTTCTTTTTCCATGTGTGCGTACGTGGTTGTCGATGCCCGTTACATTGGGCGCTAATTAACTAATGTCACAAGAATCTACAATGAGATTTTGCGTTTTTATTTAATATGTTCAAATGTGTTCAAATACATGAGAAAAGGTTTACAAGTTTCGGCCACAGATTGGTACAGCGTTTAATCACATGATCCGCAGTGAAACTTTGAAATATTCAACTCGTATAAGAAACTATGATTGACACTACCAATTCTTCATTTTTTAAATTTCTTAGAAAGTCATACTTTTATCATGCATATTTTTGCTATCATTTCAAACATTTGCATTCAGATAATTTCAACTGTAAACACCAACTAATTCTATCTTCCCTAAAGAATGTTTGGGAACTATTTCTATATTTCCCCAAGAGGCTAAAAGAACTGATTCTATCTTACCCAAAGAGGCTAAAAGAACTGATTCTATCTTACCCAAAGAGGCTAAAAGAACTGATTCTATCTTACCCAAAGAGGCTAAAAGAACTGATTCTATCTTACCCAAAGAGGCTAAAAGAACTGATTCTATCTTCGCTAAAACGATTTTAAGGATTCCTTCTCATTTCCCTGAAGACACTTTGATATTTGTTTCTACTTTAAAATCTCGATCAATTGTTACTTTCAGCAAACATCTAATAATTCTAATTTAATAACTTAATATATATTTAATTCGGCCATATGATCGTCTTTAAACAATTCTTTTCTCTGGCTGCCAGTGGGCAAATGTACAAAATCGATATTGATTTTAACTACTTATGAAGAGAAACTAGAACTATCAAATATGGCTGACATATTGTTGTGCACTGACAGTGTCCGTTCCGCTAAGATAGAGATGGGTAATGTATACCAGTGACACCGTCTTTTCTCATCTTTTAAAGACACTGAAGGCGGAAATATGCGAATTAGTCACGTAGAGAGAAAACAAATGGCCTGAGAAAATAGACTTTAGACACGCATTTTATTACGCAGCTGTGTTTTGAGAACAAATTCGCATATCGATAGGTCCCCATACGTCTATAGAAGTGAGTAGAAAATCAACTTCATGTCATAAGATAAGAAAGAAAATCATTTCACTATTAATATTTACCAATGCATTCAGGGGCATGACTATCTTTGTGATAGTTTTTAATTTACCATCGCTTTATATATTAAACTCATTAAAACGCATTATGTTTGCTTTATCCACATCATATGTGGTATTTTCTATCCTCATCCTCATTTCTATGACCGGATATGGCCATAGGGTTGCTGCACAGCTAAGCACCCGACCAGCCCCCTCCATATGTGTCGTTTGCGTATCAATGATCTTTGAATAATCCCCCAGTTTACTCAATGGCGTTGTCAGATCATTTTTCTTTGTCTGTCTCTTATTCTAAAAGGGTACCTTGTAGAGGAGCAGTAGAAAGATTGACTCTTATCATTATGAAGTGTCCCTAGCATTTCAACTCTTTCACTTTGACGATGCTTATGAAGTCTTCAAATCGTCCTGTTTCTCGTCTGTTAGAGTTTCTCACTGCCTCATTTCTGATGCGGTCTACGTAGAAGATTCCCAGGATGGTTCTGTAGAATCTCATTTCTAATGTTTGAATTCTTCACTGTAATTCTACTGTTAATGTCCAAGTTTCTCAGGAATCTAGAAAGAGAGAGAACGTCATTGCATGCAACAGTCGGATCTTTGATTTAAAGCAGATTTCCTTGTCTTTCCAGATAGTTTTGGAAAAGTTACCATTTTTTGTTTTCTTCTTGAAATTATTTCTATTCTAGGGCCCCCTTCACTAATAATCAATCCAACATATTTGAATTGGCTCTCTAATTTAAGTTTCTGGCCACTGACTTTTATCTTGCTTGAAAGTCTTTTCTCATTGTTCATCATTAGTTTGATGTTTTTTGGCATTAATCTCCATATAGCATATCTAAAGGATGTTTCATCCAAATTCTCTAAATAAATCCAAAATATTATTAAATAAGAAAGGCTTATTTCCAAAACGGCCACCGATTTTTGCCCACTCGACTTTTGGGAATAAATGGAATGAATACTGGGTAAAAAAAAAATTGTTTAAATCTTTAAAAATAAAACTTTGTAACTTGCAAGAATATACGCTATAGGTTAAGCAGAAATCTATAATTTTAAAGACGTTATATTTGCCTTGTTGGTAGAAAATAATCTTACACACAGACGCTTGCCATTTTATCGAATTTAGTTGAATGTCTAGAGACCTTCAAATGTCAAACAAGCACGTTAATCTAACGCCCACGCACAGGAATTCGACCTTATAGCTTTATTTATTGGTGTTCTTCGACTGGTTGAAATCTGTCGATACTCTTTGGGGAAAAGACGGATTTGTGTCAGACTTTAGTGATAAAGACATGCGCAGTATATCGTCATTCTTTGTTTCAAGTCCGTCGATGAAAACCGATAAACTTGGCAACCGATCGGGAAGCCAAAGAAGTTTATTTCATGCCTTTTCCCTAAGTCAAGAACACTGAGTGAATATTATTTGAAGGCTTTTCAACAGTTTTATTTTTGGTATTGTTTTTCTCAACTAATGATGTGAATTGGCACAATTGGATGCCGTTTAAATAAAGAAGTGTGCCATTTATTGCCAAGGCTTGAAACAATTTCTCCTTGCACTCGAACCCATCACCAATCTTTTTGTTTTTGGTCTCAGCTATTATTATAAGAAGGAGAGGAGGAAGGTGAATCAAGGCGGGAAGAAGGGAGAGATGAGGAAGAGAGAGAGAGAGAGAGGGAGAGAGAGAGAGTGTGTGTGTGTGTGTGTGATATTCCAGGAAAGGAAGAGAGATGTAGAGAGAGTCAGGAAGAGAGTCAAGGTATAAGGGAGGGATGGAGAGAAAGATACGAACAGAGAAGGAGTATGGATGGATGGAGACAAAGAGGCATAAAGCGAGATACGAGGATGAGAGAAAGAAATGGAAGATGCTGTATTTCAATTCCTAAATTAAAGACTAATTCGAAACAATTGATTCTAAATGTACAGGCACAGAGAGAGTTAATACATAAAACAAACATTGACTCGTATACATGCATAAATACAACTACGTGCGCACATGCACATAAAATAAACGCGCGCATGCGCAAATAAAATTGTATCACTGGAATCAATTCGAAATTAATTCAAATGAAATTTCGAATGGAAGTTGGTAAAGAGAAAACACATAAATCGAAAATTTGCCTTGTTCAGCAGCCAATTAAAAAATTAAAAATGGATGAAAACAGCTCTATAAAATTGTTGTAACCTAGGGAAGGTTACTGAATAGAATAATCAAATGAAGGTTGGTAATGAACGATAATACTTAGAACAAGAACAACACATTTAAGATTCGCCAGCGTTATTTAGAAGAAGTAGTCAACTGCAAGTGAATTCCACAACGAATCTCCAACTGCAGGATATCTACCAACCACCCCACGCATGCAGATGTGGCACAAGGCCGAATTTAATGTGGGGTACCCAAACCAATAGGCCCGGCCAAAAATTACCAGTAGACCGGGTAGCTGTTTGCCTTGACGAGCTTCTGCATCTTCGACATAGCCTGGTCTGGGGATCCTCTCTGCCCGGGGGCAGAGCGTTTGACCAGCACAGCTGGAGGCGAATCTCTAACTGCAGGATATCTACTAACCGCTCCACGCGGTCAGATGTGACACAAGGCTGAATTTAATGTAGGTTATCCGAGCCCGTAGGCTCGGTCAAAAATTCCTCGTAGACCCTGTATAAAACGGGGTTCGGGTAGCTGTTTTCGAGACTCTGCCCTTCAACATAGACTCGTCTGGGGATCATCTCTGTCCGGAGGCAGAGAGTTTTTCCAGCACAGCTGGAGACGAATATCCAACTGCAGATCAACATACAATATTTACTACTGTATTTATGTGAATGGGGACATAACCCATAATCGCCCGTAGGTATGCTACAACAAAAATATATTTGTAAACCATTAATATCAGATTAATAAGGAAAATATGTATTAAAAACATATTTCAATGTTTATTCGTATTACCTTTGGAATATGAGAACTTATTTGCTAATTACATATTGAAAGCCGTTGCTATGTCCCATCCTTCATGTTTTGGCGTAGTTTTCTTTATTTTACGTGTCATTTCTTAGGGTTTTATCTTCAGTAGACGCGGTCTAAATAAATATGGACGTCTTTCCCGTCTCTGTTTCCATCATAATGTAAATTTTCTAATGACTCATTCGCTCGCTTAGACTGAAACATACACAGCAAATTGAGACCGTGTCTCGGCCTCTCCTTTTGGTCGTATTGGATGGAGACATTTGAACTAAAAGGAAACCCAACTACTTATTTACAGAATGATAAAGCAGAAACGTTCATCGGGTACAAAACTGGCACGTCACTTTTAAGAAATGATAAGAGGTTTTGATAATTCGACAATTAGCCTGATTTTAGAACATTTTTCTTAATCCAAGCGTAACAGAAAAATACCCAGCCTTTACATCCACCCCCAATAACCAACTGGGTAAGTCTTCTCTGTTATACCTTGGCCACCCTTTTCCCCATTATCTTCCGAGGTTTTCAGTCTGTCAAAGTATTTTCCAGTATTTTCGACACGCCTCGTGTTGATGTTATGGCTGTTGGACATGGAATGAGGATCGGGAAAAAAGCAGAAAACGCACGCAACAGTGACGTCACAGTGCCAAATATTTGTGGTCGGCCATTTTGAGAGAAATTTACTCCAATTTTCTGAAATATTTTATCCGAGTTAGGGCATTTGTCATTCGAATGAACACTTAAAATTGAATACGGCTATGTATTTAATCAAAGTTGTATGTATTTCATAGGTTTACTATAGAACTAAGTCGTAATGTTAGAGTGTTTAATATGATAGCTATATAAGAGCTATATAAGAGTTTTTCGAAATTGTCTATACTGAAAAAATCCAAAGGACACGTGAAATTACAGAGTAAGACAAAAATAATAAGAAAACTGGATTGTTTAAATATTTAATTCCTATAAATAAACATCATATACCATAAAAATAGAAATGTTCTGAATATGATGCAAATAATCATCGAAATATCAAAAATCCATTTTATTTCCTTCGAAAGTATATAATTATTTTTTCTTTTAAAATTATTCTAAGGTGATTCTTTCAAAGTTATTCTGTTAAGGTGATTTACACGCAAAAGAATAAGGAAATATCAAAATTCATTAGCGAAAATAAATGGCGAAGACATTAAAGAAGAAAAAAATAAGAAAACAAACATTTTCATTGACATTAAGTCTTTAGAAATTAACATTTTTAAAAATTTCACTATCTGATGTTTAGGCTACTTTTCACCCTCTCTCTCTCTCTTTTTTTTTCTTTCTCTTTCTCTCTCTCTTTATCTATCACCACACACACACATACACACACAAATATATATATATATATATATATATATATATATATATATATATATATATATATATATATATATATATATATATATGTAGGAGTGTCGTGATTCAGTAATCGTGGTTAATCACTACAAAATGATCATTATTAAGTATCCAGAATTCTCTTTTATTGATGGTTAGTGGCACCCCCTGCCCCACAAAAAAAAAACTCATTGTACAAGAATTTTATTCGTGTGTGTGTGTGTGTCTGTGTGTGTCTGTGTGTCTGTGTGTGTGTGTGCGATGTTTTAATGTTTCTTACTATGTCGTAATGTGGAGGATAATGAGAGAAGTAAAAAACGATAACAGTAATAATGATGATGATGATGATGTCAAAATAATCAACAAAACCTTGACTGTAAAACCAACAATATTTTACGCACTTTTCTGTCAACATTCGATCTGTCTCTGATATTGAGCATTTTTATCCATAAATATAGCATGTGTTAAAATTACATTTTTATAAAAATATCATGGAAAATAAGGAAAACTGCATCAGTCTAGAAGAATAAATCCCCAAACTGTAAACTCTGTCTGGAGGAGAAAATAGTTATAATCATCTTCTCAGCCCTAAACAAACTACTAAATAAACGATCAGAACTCATCTCAAAATGCAGACATGTGGACAATTTTTACTACGTTACTTAAGAATCGAAAATTACAAACGAACAAGAATGAACAAAAATAAATTAAATTGAATTCATCCAAACCAATAAATAAGTAATTAGTAGTTTAAATTTAAACGTAATAATAACAAGCAACGATAAAATAATAAATAAAAATGTTAGCAAACAACACTATAAATACGTCAAAAACTGAATCCGGATCCACAATTACATCCACTCAGTAGCCGTCAGAATAATTCGAAACATAACCGTGACCGGTCACCTAAATAATCGTTAGAAAAATATAATAGATTACCCACAATGCCTCACTGACCTATATATATATATAAATAGCAAAAACAACGCATATGGCCTGACGATTGCATTCAGCCATGAAAAGGACTGTCACCTCAATGTACACTTTTCTATTTACATACACTCGATCCCTGATAATGAGCACTTTGAACCATAAATATACATTCAAACTCTATTTTATCATTCACACACACACACACACACACACACACACACACACACACACACACACACACACACACACATATATATATATATATATATAGCAAATATTAGTAGTAAATATACACATACATATGCAAAATATATAAATATATATACATAGGTGCATACACATACATGTATGTTTTATGGAATCGTAAATACGTTCCAGGGTCTGATGAAATGGATCGTATTTACGATTCCAATGGAATAAATTATGTCCATGGAATATTAGTGTTTAAGCCTTTTATTATATATATATATATATATATATATATATATATATATATATATATATATATATATATATATATATATATATAAGTGGACACTGAGAACAACACCAAGAGGCGACAGTCTGTTTCATGCTTCAACGCGATCTTCAGGCCATCTATATTTATTTTATAGTTACATACGCTTTATCTCATATATATATATATATATATATATATATATATATATATATATATATATATATAAAAAAGATATATTAAGCCTAACAAAAATTGTCTATCATTAAATTACTGAAGGGAAACGCGTTTAATCAAAATGTTTAAAAACAAATAGAGCGTAAATAATGAATAAATAAAAGTTCAATGACTTACATTGCGACACGGAATTTCACAGGCACAAATTTTGCCATGTCAAGGTCAGATAAATGGAAAATTATGATAAAATTCTTTAATGCATTATCGAATAATTTCTGATTTGATGTTGACATGTTATAAGCAAATTTTTAATTTATCTGACGTCAATGAGAAAAGTTTTCCTAATGTGTTTAAAATAAATCTGATCTGTCAATAAACTAATTTAAAATAAATCTGATATTTGCTAATAAATAAAAATAAATAGACGAGCCGATCAGTGCCGATTGGAAGATAAGTCATTGTACTTTTGATTTATGTATTCATCACACACACACACACACACACACACACACATATATATATATATATATATATATATATATATATATATATGATTCGAAGAATGCTTGAGACGAGATACTGACAGTCATAAATATCCACACTGTTTATATTTACAAACGCTATATATATATATATATATATATATATATATATATATATATATATATATATATACTACAGTTTAAAAGTTTGGATCGACTCCACAAAATTAGCATGTGATGAACTTGACAAAAGATTGAAAAAATAAATGAAAAAGAGCTCTTAATATCTTTGAAAAAAGATTGGAATCAATTATCAAACTTATACTTTGGGAAACTTTTGCAATGAATGACAAAAATGTGTGCTGCAGTAGTCAAAGCTAAAGGAGGATATTTTGACAAGAGCCAAATTTGATCATAAAATGCTTTTCTTCTTTTTATCATAATAAAATTCCTAATAAAAAAAAATCATGTTTCATTTTTTAACCATGTATAATAATCTTCTCTTATTTAAAATACAAAAGAACTCCTTCTTCGGCCAATTTAGACAATTAGCAGGGCTGTCCTCAAACATTTCAACTGTAGTGTATATGATAAAAATATAGTCTTAAAGTGTGTTTATTTATTTGTAAAAGTGGTCAATATCAGAGATAAAGCGTATGGCAATATAGATGGCCTGAAGATTGCGTTGGAGTACGAAACAGACGTCGCCACTTGGTGCTGATCTCACTATCCACTCATATATATATATTAGAAATTATTTGATAACTATATTTAAGTAATTCATCGAGTCTGAAAGAAAACTCAACAGAATGCAGAAAGCACTGGACGGCCGTTTCGTCTTATATTTGGGACTCATCAGCAGTGCGCATCCACTACCGAGAATTGAAACTCAGACAGTTAGGTTGTCAAGCAAACATCATACCAACTGTTGCAATGGGCCTCGGTGACGAAGAGATTGCAAATCAGACTCAACAATTCAATTCTCGGTAGTGGATGCGCACTGCTGATGAGTCCCAAATATAGGACGAAACAGCCGTCCAGTGCTTTCTTCATTCTGTTGAGGTTTCAATCAGACTCGATGAATTACTTAAATATAATTATCAAATCCTCCTAATAATTTCTATCATGTACATCATTGCTTGAACCGGCTTCTAATGCTCTAGAGTGAGCGGCTTGGTGAGAGTAATCGTGGCTCCAGGGGGCACCGTCCTATGGTTAGAGAGAACTCAGTAGAGTTCCACCACGGAATATGTGAGCGAGCGGCGCTTTGTTGAGTCTGATTTGCAATCTCTTCGTCAACCAAGGCCAAGTGGAACAGTTGGTATGATGTTTGTTTGACACCCTAACTGTCTGGGTTTCAATTCTCGGTAATGGATGCGCACTGCTGATGAGTCCCAAATATAGGACGAAACGGTCGTCCAGTGCTTTCTGCATTCTGTTGAGGTTTCTATCAGACTCGATGAATTAATTATATATATATATATATATATATTGAGTGCTTCTATGTGTGGGGGAGGGTGCTTCTCGTGCAATATCCCTCCTCTTCTATTGTTTGTTATGATTTGCAGTTTCTTTGATCTGTTATTATCTGCTTTGCGTTTCTCAATGTCACTTGTTAATGTTATGACAGGCGATAGCGACATACGCCACGAAATCGTCCCTTGATGTATGTTGTCATTTTTAGTGACGTGGCAAATATCTGCTAATCAGATTCACGCAATTCACTTCGAGAAATCGTGTTTGTTCCTCTATTTTGATTCGCCTATTTCTCTTTCACTCTTTTTTTTTTTTTTTTTTACTATCACCACAAATCAGTAGACAAGTCGTAAGTATGAAACTGTATATTTCTGCCAATTAAGTAAATCATATTCGAAGTATTAATAACATTCACCAAAGGAGACAGCTGGCGCAAAAGCCCAAATGAAATAATCCTCATAAAATTGTACATCATTTGCATTGGAGAATAATAATTAATTATTTGTCGCTATTACTGATAATGTTGATGTAATGGGGCTGAAATTCGACCCGTCGCTGCTCCAAGCAAAATAGACGCTGTCATGTGGACGATATTGTTTTTATTATTTATACGTTCACACCAGATATCTGGATAAATGAAAGTAAGTGGAGGTCTTCTCACAGACTCGACACCTTCCTCAGTATCCTTGCAGAACGGAACACTGCCGTTGGGTCTGGACAACAACAATTCTTCCGAAGTCTTTTAGGCATGCCTCTAGTATCTTTGTTTTGTTCCAAGTGTCTTTAATAAAATAGCAACAACCCTAACTTTTATATTCCCCGGTTTCCGTCATTACAGGAAGATATTATATTATTCTACAAATGTTTCCCTTACTTTTAGTTACATCCGGTATTCCCCTATCACAGCTACATCCACGAACTGCCAACTACTTCTTTCAATGATTATGACCATCAAATCTTGTTTATGAGCAACAAATCTGAGACCATCAAATCTGTTTTTTCTCATCAAGATGGATTCGTTTTGTTCTAATATATTTTATCCTTTTTTATCTATTCCGACAATGTCTGGTTTGTACAGGTATCAACTCACATCGTTTGCACAGTTCTTATTGTATGACTGTTTCTACCCTATCGTGCCAATATTTAAATTTCTATTCACTCATCTCGGCGTATTCCGTTATGATTTATTCTTTACGACTCCTAGTTCCCGAGTTCTGGGTTCAATCGAGTGATTTCAAATGTCCCAAAGATTTATGTCTCATTAACATTAACATTGTAGGTTGTTATATTAGTAGTTGTTATTGTAGTAATGATAATTTTACTTTCAGTACTCCTAATAGGGGTAATAATAGGGGTAATAATAGGGGTAATAATAGGGGTAATAGCAAATGCGTTTGGTTATAAAGTCTAAAATTTCCTTTTTTTCAACTCGATCAATATATTTTATGTTTGAATTAATAAAAGGAAGCGATGTAAATGAAACAAATTTTTTCTTCTTCTTTTCGTCTGTTTTCATTTATGACTAAGATGCCGTTGAAGGTTCCAGGCATTTTTTCAAAGACTAAATTAACATCGTAGACTTTTGGTGTTTCTCTCGATCTGGCTTCCTTTCGTGTTTGCCAAAGGTCGAGGTGCCATTTCTCTTGGAAAGCCTGATTGTTCATCTAATGGATGAGCAAGCTAATCTTACCCTTAAGCCAAGGAACGGGGTGGGGGGAAGCGATTTTACGGGGTAGGTGTAGCAGGTATTTTCACCCGCACAATCCTTTCATGTTGTTCCCACCCAAAAGGTTAAAAAATGTCATCTTCAAAACTGGAAATGTCAACCGTGTTGGTTTGTCACGAAAGAATTAATTGCAAGGGGACACAGGGAAGTAACAGAAGCAATCATCACTGATTGGAATTGTAGCCCGAATTTAAGCGGTCACCGTCGCCCAAATGCTACAAGGCTGTTGACACAGCACAGATGAGCTGATTAAGGAGTTCGAAGACTTTTCACATCTAAAGAAATCGAGCTGTTATTTCCGACATGATTTCTTCAGACAATTACTTTTTGGTTTCTAATACAACTGAAAAGTTGGAAGGAGAAGGGATAACTTTTTTCTTTCATGGCTCTCCACAACTTCATATCCATTGCAGCTCGAAGTAATGTTTTACCATCCATCCCTTTCTACCGTCCATTTAGACAATCTCGTTATGTAGGCCATTTGCTGTTTCGCTCTTCCCTCATTTCGTCTGTATGTACTGTGAGTGACAAATTCTCCGAATACCCTTTCCTCATTATGTGTTACAGAAATTCTAACGGTCTCTTTCTGATTTTAAGTTTAAATGTCACTAGTTGGCATTTTCTTTAGAACTTCCTCGTTATTCACATGTTCTGCACGTGATATTATCCGTATTCTTCTGTAGAACCACATCTTTGTTGGTTCGACTCTCTTCTTCATCTCATATATATATATATATATATATATATTGAGTAAATTGTAAGACAAAGATGATAGAAAGAAAAAGGAAAAATATAGAGGAATTTGGTTAGATTCCCAAAATTCCTTCAAATATTCTTTAAAAATTTTTTGAAACTACCAGCGTCTCTCGTTCAGACGCATGTGTAGTCACAACAACGTCAGTAAACCCAGTTCGATGAAGTCCTAACGGATGAAACGTGTCACAATTAAACTTTTTCCATTTTTTCTTACAATTTCCTCAATATTGTTCTTGATATATAAAATATATATCGTTATCTCATATATCTATCTACCTATCTCTGTCTGTGGGTATATATATATATATATATATATATATATATATATATATATATATATTGTGAGAGAGACAGGTTGAAGCATTTCAATATTTATCACTGGCACTATCTGTCTATTCAAATCCTCAGGTTTTAGAATATTGATTTAGGTTAGCAGGTACTCGTAAGTGGGCAGATTGACGCGATGCAATCTTCCTTTTCACTATTGGTCTACTTGATACTGCGCTGGACTGAATTAAAAATAATGTTCATATATCTACAGGTAGACATATTTAAATTTACGAATCTCTCTGTAGAAAAAACATGCGTGAGTTGAGCTTCCAAAAATTGCAACTTGTTTATTGAATTTGTTTATGTTACGATTTCTTCAAGAAAAAATGTTATCACTAAAGATGAAATAAAGATGTGTCACATATAATTTGATTCTTAAGCAGACTTTAATGGAACATGTTGCCTAATTTCAGTCTAAAATTCATTTTCCTAATGAAACCGAAGCCATGTCAGAAATTTGAATCTTAAATAAAGAAAAAACATATTTAAAGTGAAATGAAATGCAAACTTGTCAGATATTTTGAATCTAAAATAAAGATTTTGAGTTCGACACAAGAGTTCATTGGTTCTTCGTATTCAGGTATTGACCGCCGGTCTGCTACGTACGGTCAGGCGCCGATTTGTCGCGAGTTTTTTTTTTTTTTTTTTGATTCACCAATGGGAAATGTTTCTTGGTGGTGCCTTTGATAAATGGAAAGAAATGTTGTTTGTAGAAATTCAAATCAGCCGTAGAAAGTCAATTAAAATTACTTCAACCAAACCCTTTTAGCAAATTGACAGAAAACGCGACAGCATTTTTGCAAGCATTTAAATAACCACAAAAACATTTCTGTATTTCTTTGGAAATTTCTATTTCAAATGATTATCACATTTATTTTTTGTGGTGTAAACAGATTATGGTACTTCTTCTCTCAGAAAAGATTGGATGCGAATTACTTTAAAATGGTTACTATTTGTCAAAAAAACAGATGGAGAATATGATTCACGTCCGAAAATTTCATATGAACTGAATCGAAAGTCAATAAAAATTGTTTGTTCTAAGAGGAATTGATCTGCAATGATCCTAATAAATCCTGGGTGTCAGTGGTTACACCGACACATAAACCGGTGGTCTACACAGCTGAGACGTGCACATATCAGATAACTGGTAGATATATAAGCGATTCTCCCCGAGAGGAAAGAGTTAGAGAGCCTCACATTTTTGCGTAAAGAAGAATCCACGTGCGGAGAAACCGCCCGAAGCCACACACCCACTCGCCGATATTAACTGAGGAAATCCAGATGTGAATAAACAATAATTTTACGTACGAAATCCAAAAATAAGACATTACACGAGCAAGGGAAATATATTTTATTTAACAGAGTTTTACTGATTTTATCAGCGATGCTTTCATGTTTTGTGTGTGTGTGCATGGCCGATACAATGGGTTTAGGTTTTTATATAAGATGTGCACACAATCTAACACCATATTGAACAATCAAGCGGATTTCATATCTTCTATAATATCGGCTCTTTTTTATTTTTGCCTGACAATTATATTTGTTCTTGTTTCGAAAGACGACTTGTCTGCGGTGGTTTGCGTCAAGAGCTTTGTTTAGGCGAACACATAAAAATCTCTTTTAATTTCGGCCGCGGAAACATGAATTTCGTAATTTGGATCAAAAGAAAACGTCCGATTTTCAATCAGTCTGAAACGAAATTCAAACTTTCTTGCTGACAAGATATTCACACATTTAAATACAGCCAATCATCACTTAACGACCTTTTCCGTTCCAACAACTTGGTCGTTAAACGAACTGGTCGCTAAGTAAGAAGTACCTGACCGGAATTGGTTTGTCTCAACCAGCTTCTGAGAGCACTGATGTCAATTTTGTACCATTTATAACATTCCTAATTTATTTCTAAATATCGAGGCTTAAAGTTACAACCATGTTGAAAAACCGGTTCTCCTACGATCACCGAAGTTAAGCAAGGTCGAACCTGGTCAGTATCTAGATGAGTGATCGATTGGGAATATAAGGTGCTGTAAACTTTGATGTACTGTTGATGTAATGGATAATGACTCGGAATTGTTAATCGGAGAACCGAGTTCCAATTCCCGTTGCGTTCGTTATATTCAACTTTTGTTTTTTTTTTAAGCATTTCACCCCAAGCAAAGCAAAAGATAGAGGAAAGGATGAAGAAAAGAACAGGGAATAGTTCAAGGCTTCTGAAGATGTCCATTGACATTGCATTTGAATAGATTATAGCTATCAGGGAAGCAAGTAAGAGGAAGGCAGTTCCACAAACGAGAAGTGCGAGACATGAAGCGACGGTTACATTTAACCGTTTTGACAGTGAGAGGGTGGGGACGAGATGCCGACCTAGTGGCACGTTTATATTCATGCAGTTTGGGAACTAGCGAAAATAGCCCGTCGAAGCAGTTACCTTGAAAGACAGAGGGAAGCGACGGCACGTCTTTGAGGGAGCGACTGTAAACGAGATGCCAGATCAGGATCAATCATATTGCATATCCGTCTCTGGATTTTCTAGAGGACCTTAAGACGAACAGCGGTACACGTAAATGCCCTTGGGAAAGGCATGAATCCACCACTTCTTCCTAATCTATGGGTTAAGACTTGTATCATTGGACTATTATTATCGCCAAAACAAATTCTTAAAATCTAAAAATCTTTTATGGCTGTAAAATGACCTTCAAAAGGTTGATAAATTGTAATTAGTCAATTAATCAATCAATCTAAATGCTTATAAAATACAGCAGTCTAGTGAACATTAAGCGTAATAAACAGATTCGAAAATCAGCTGGAAATGACTTTGGTTTGCATCCTGTAAAATCCAGGACAATTTGTATTTATTTTTCTCTTTATTTATCCATTTTATTTATTTTGATTCATTTTGAAGGAAGCAAAATAAAGTTTTTCTACAATATCGACTGGTTGGAATTTTTTTATCTTTTATAACTGGGCGTAAGGCCGGGAGGTCGTTAAATAGGCAGGTCGTTAAGTGAGAATATGTTGTATTTAAACATAGACACGTCCGCGCATACAAAAAGAAAGTTCCTAATTAAATGATGGATGCGTGTATGCACACAAACAATGGATATTTGACGGTGATTAACTTGATTTTTTTCTACCGTCTTTTACCGATTTATGATCGAATTTCCTTCACTCTAACTGCCTTTATATATTATTTTGCTGACCTTCAGTCAGGAAGAGACTTCCAGAAGAAAAATAGATGTTCTGTATCTCTATTCTACATGAGGTAAAAATCTTCGATTTAATAAGAGAATTTAAATGAAAGAAGCACGACTCGGCCCTTGGCGCCTAGTAAAAGCAGCGTCTTATTTTCATTATCAGACAACACGTGCCAGCGCCAACCGTTCTACAAGCACTACATGCATAAGCTTACAAAGTCATACTCATACAACCTTAGACAAATTCAGACCTGAATCAAAACCGTCCGATGTAGGAAAGAAATTTCACAGAATTATTTTCTGCTTTTTTTCAGCTGAATAAATATGATTTGCCGTAGAAACTGTTGCTATGGCATCACTCACCTGTTTCCTAAGAAACTGACATGAACTACCAAAATTCTCCATCTTTAAGCGTTGCCATAGCAACTGCTTTTTTTTCCTATTCTAATCAAGGCCTTTTTCGTTTCCTTTTCTTTTTATATTCAACTAGGAATCATTTTACCGAGAGAATTGCATTTTTCTTTCTTGATCGCTTTTCGATAGCAACAAATGAGTAGCATTGCTATTCGACGGATTTCGGCGTCTGGACTGAACAGCACAAAATCTCGTTACTCATAGCAACGGATGACCAATTGAAACTGTGCTTTTGAAAAGAGAAAATAGGTTTTCTTTGATATTGGACGTTTTATTTCAGTCCATTCATATCTATCTATCTATCTATCTATCTATCTATCTATCTATCTATCTATCTATCTATCCGAGTGTTTATATCTATCTGTTTATCTCAGTTCATGCATTTTCTATCTATCTATCTATCTATCTATCTATCTATCTATCTATCTATCTCGGTCTTTTCATTATCTATCTATCTATCTATCTATCTATCTATCTATCTATCTATCTCGGTCTTTTCACTATCTATCTATCTATCTATCTATCTATCTATCTATCTATCTATGTCTTTTCATTATCTATCTATCTATCTATCTATCTATCTATCTATCTATCTATCTATCCCTGTCTTTTCATTATCTATCTATCTTTCTATCTATCTCAGTCATGTATAGAATACTTTTTTCGTGATTGAAACAGAGGTTAGTTTAGTCTGTCGTTTTCCCTCGTCGCTGTGATATTTGTTAATTTTACCATCAGTGTTACAGGCTGGCGTTCAAGCCCAGGGAAAAGCCACAATTTCGATTACAGATTTTCATATTTGCTAAGCATTTAATTGGACAGGTACATTGGTACAACTTGGTATGGACAAACTAATCACACTTTTTATCCACACAATCATGGGACATACCAACAGGAACATGTATTTTTTTCAATTATCTATATGTGTGTCTAGATTTTCCGTCTGAATTTTGGGGATCAGGAGTTTTCATTATTAACATTATTTACACGCACAAGGCCGGGGGAATGGGACACCCAGTGAGGATCGAACTCACTACTTAGTCCTAACTGTTAAGCGAGACAAACTTGTTAACCATTACATCACATCGAAATGCCCATGATTTTGTAAGCGTAGCTTAGATGTGGCACAAGACCGAAAGTGTGGGGCACCCAGTGAGGATCGAACTCACTATTCAGTCGTAATTGATCTCGCGAGCACACACAAACTGTTATGAATAGCTTCTGTAGAAATATCACTTTACGATTTCATAATTTTTATAAGAGAAAAGAAATTAATGCTTAACAAAAAAAATATTGTTGAGAATTTAAAAATATCAATGATTCATTTGACAATGATTTCAGGCTTCCGTATTATTTTCAAATTTCAACATTGAAGCAAATTGCTCATAAAAAAGGCAGAGGTTTGGTTTCTGGTCATTTCTACCGAAATCTTTTCCCTTCATTTTAACAAAACAAAAACGCCAACATGAATTACTCTGCGGCTAAGGACTGGTTATAACAAATATATTCTGGATTAAGGTTTGGGATTGATCTTCATTTTGTCTTGTTTTGTTTGTCATTCTGGTGCACTCCCATGAATTGTGCCACTTCTTCTTCTTCTTCTTCTTCTTCTTCTTGGCTCAATTTTATAATCAGTCTGCTTCACAAAATCTGAAGTCAGTGCGCGTTACTTTCATTGTGAAGAAAAGTTTTTAATCTGTAGTCAAATCAATTTCGTTTCATCAAATTCTTCTTGTGGGCTTTCCTCTATTTTAGCCTCTACAGAATTAATCGTTCGGTCCGATTTGAACTGATGGGATTTTACCTTGCAGTTATTTTACTTGATTTAGATACGAAAGAGAGAGAGAGAGAGAGAGAGAGAGAGAGAGAGAGAGAAGAACAGAGTGAAAGAAGAAAGGATGAAAGAGAGAAGGCGATAGCGGAAGAGAGACGAATAAAGAGAAAATGAAACGAGAGAGAAAGGGATAGAAAGGAAGAAAAATAGAGAGTAGGAATCGAAAGAGAAAATTCTAACCATTTAGACATTTAGATTTCCCAATACTCAAGCAAACCGGAAGTCGGCTGTAACTTTAATGAATTCTCACTGCAAAAGAGAAATTGAAATGAACAGCATGTGAAGATAAAACTTTATTCGATTGAAAAAAAATTTCCAAGCATTTTTTTTGTAAATCAAATATGTTGACATATCAATTCTCTCATTCATTTTCTCTTAACTGTGAATTCGTTTCTAGTTTCAAATTTAAATTTCAAATATATTTAGTTCAAGTCATAAAATTGTGTTCAAAATATTTAGATTTGGGTATTAAATGACCCAGAAAGAGTTGATAAATAAATCAACATCCAATTGATGAACACATGGCGTTTTTCGCGCAAACTTGTCACGCAAATGTGTTGTCGTGGCTGGACGTAAAAATGTGCATTTAACGTTTCATTCCTTTTTTTGCACACGCACACACACACACACACACACACACACACATATATATATATCTTACTTATTATAAAACGCAGATTGTGTGTGTGTGTGTGTGTGTGTGTGTGTGTGTGTGTGTGTGTGTGTGTGTGTGTGTAACGTTTATATATTGGATCGGATTTCCTACATTTTTCAACCGATTTCAACAAAACTTCACAGGACTACATAAAATTACCTTGTGGTGGTTCTAACAGCGCCCAAAATGGGAAAAATATAATTGTTTTTGCACAAAATCAATTTGAAAACACGATTAAGAGACATCGTGAAAATGGAAGGGGGACAACTCACATCGGGTTGTTTGTGTGTGTAGGTTCCTTTAAATATGGGAGCGGATTTCCTATATTTTTCAGCCGATAAAACAAAACTTCACTTTTTTTTTTGGCAGGTAGTGTTTCTTATTCTCTTGCACACCTTTTTTCTTTATTTTTAACATTCAGAATGCTTTAAAAATTCCATTTACAGTACAATTATTTATAATAAAATTCTATTCAATCGGTAGAGACTCATAACGATTGAAAACAATGTTTTTGTTTGAGTTTGGGTTTGACCAATTCGTAAAAAATAAAAAAAACTACTTAAGACATGCGTGTCGTCAACCTTAAACAATAATCTAACGATCTCTACTGATTGTACGAATACAAACATCGGAATAAATTCTTTATCTTTAGGGAAAGATAATGAAATCTAAACATACACAAGTCTTAACTAAAATAATAACCGGAACGGGAAACTACTTTAAATACACATGGTGTCCAATTTTTTTTTACTGTATTCAATAAGTAAAAATCATAAATTGTAAAAGATTATTATTACAGAAAGGCTACTAAATGAATAAGATTTGTTAGATCATAATTAATAAACCCAAATAAAGTTAATATTTTTTGTATTAGAAACAACGAGTGTAAAATATATTCAAATCAGAATTCTAATTATGAATCACCACAAGCAA